AAAGAGAACGATTGGCTCAAGTTAATTAAGTTGGACATGACAGAACAAACATTCATTAGTGACTTACTTTATGACTTTGACCACTTAAGGCTCTATTTGTCATAATTTTGTCACTTGCTTTCCACTTGTACTTTTTAACATTTTTTTTTGTAGTTAAAATATCAAACAAGCCCCTAAAATTTATTTCACTTTGCTTAATTAAGCCCCTAAACTTTACTTATTATTAAATTAGAGTCCTATGGTTTTATGTTTTAAGAGATTTGATCGGGTACAGGGTCATATGTACTTACAAGAAAGTAGGGTCTGAGTAACATTAGGAAAGCATCTGAAGAGAGGGCAAAGGCAACAGGCTTACAGCAAAGTAGATAAGAACAGATGATTCCCCAAAGTGGGCTGGCAACTGACAACAAAATTGCTAACACTGTGAATCCAAAAACAACATGGAGTGGTGTTCTTGTTCCTTGCTCTGTTCCTCCTTCCTGACAAAACCTTTTCTAGTTCAAAGAACTGTTGTAGTTGACTCATGACCATCCCTCAAACCATGATTTGAGTGGTTTTGTCAAATCCCTCTGTGCCATCCCATTTCTATCTTCCCTATTCTAGCCAAGAAAATCACAACCCACGTCTCAAGTTATTTACTTCTTCCCCTCAATTTCTTTTTTTTAGGTTTTGGATTTTGTTTGGGACAGGGTTCTAAAATATTATCACGGTAATAAGATTTTTGAATATTTATTCTGGGAATCTTGACTAAAATTGTTAATCAAAAGTGTGCAAACTGAAAAGTAAAATTTATTTGAGTAATTGTTAATTTTTTATGAAATATAAAATTGATCATGCCACTATAATCTAGGTACTGAATGCGTAATTAATCCAAATCTTGTACATGAAATGTAACTTGCAATGCTCTCCTCTACTATGAAACAAAAGGAATTGCAGCAGAAAAAAGAGAAAAAAGGTTGAAAAGCAGACTGAACTTAGGGTCCTACAAGAGGATTTTGGGGCGGAGAAAATTTGTTCATCTCATCATTTGTTTGGTAATGGAAGTCAATTACTTGACTAGGTTACAAATTGTTTAGGTTATGGACAAAGACAGGGATTGAAAAGCATTATTAGTCATGAAATCCTATGTTTAATGTCATGAAAAATTTCCTTTGTCTAATAGTGATTAATAATGATTGTCTACTTAGAAATCCATTATGATATATGCTTTCCAAACACTACGTAAATTTTTAGCTTAGTCATTGGCTCATTTCCTAGTGATAATTTAAGAAGCAAGAAGAAGAAAGGAGGAGAAGAAGAAGGAAAAGACTTGGGCTCCTCCTATTTGCAATACACACCCAACTTTGCTCAACCAGGCAAAGGAAAGCTCACCCATCTACCCATTCTTGCAGGTGGATTCCACCAGGGTCCCAAGGCATATAGCTGGAACTTCTCTCCTTGTACGCAATAACGACTGTTTCTGAAAAGAATGACCAAATCAATTGGCTTTTCATGGCTGTAACTGGGAAGAGATAAGGGTTTGCTTTTCAGCCTTTATATTACGTGCTCATTGGTTTTGGGTCAAGGGTGCCCAAATCGAACGAAAGATTCAGCTTGTTGTCCATGGGCCATGGCCTTGGCCATGCTTTAGCCTACTCTTGTCCAAAAAGTAATACCCTAATGCTGTCCATGGACACCAGCGGTGGAACAGAATGGGCACTTTCCAAGCTCCAGCACTGTTAAAATATATTCATCCGTGGTCTTTCATTCTGGGATTTTTTTGCCTATTACCTGATCTTTTATCATGGCATTCTCATGGTAAAACATATACACTGAAAGAAGGGGAATGCTATTGAAATTTTTACGTATTAACCCGTTGGCTAGAAGAGCTGCCCCCGACAACTGACCCCCATCAACCCTCTGCATATTTGCATGACTAGTTTTGTTGTGCCTAAAAATACATACCTACAACATTTTCACTCTCTTCCCTCATCATGTAGTATGTTCTTCCATAAATATGGCACAAATAAAATATAGCAGCAACCATTAATCATTACTGAGCCATTTGAGAAGGGTAAATTTAAACAAAGCCTTGCTCTTTCAATAACAGAAATGTAATTAGGAGTATTCTTGGCTCATAATGGTTCATAGACATCAAACTCTAACTGAAACTACAAATCTCATTTTTTCATCTCAAGGTTATCAAGGTCTAATAAGCTTTAAAATAAAGGACTTTTCTAAAGGCCCAAAGAAAAGCAAAAGCTCAAAACAGCCCTAGACTACGCAAACCAAAATTTCACAATATTATCAAACTGGCTCCAACATAATTAGCCGGGGCCTTTTGTCATTGAAATTTCCTTTATGTTTTCTATCATTCTGTTAAAGAAATAGCTCTGCTCTTGATTTGAAACAAATGTTCCAAGTTCTAATGGTATCAGAATCACATACAATTCCCTATCTGACATAATAAGCAATTTTGCAGTGAAATAAGCTAATGCCCCAAAACATACGAACCTTAGCTATCCCAAAACATGGCTACAGCTTCCAAAGCACAAAATTTCAGACAACCAAAGGAAACACGTTTCAAAAGTACATACTTTTTTAAAGGAACAAAAAAAAAGCAAACGCTCAAAACAGCCATGAGAAGCAATTCTAGACCAAAAAAACCAAATCTTAACAAAATTATCAAACCGGTTCCAACACAATTTGCCGTGATCATTGTCACTGAAATTTCAGTTATGTTTTCTATCATTCTGTTAAAGAAATAGCTCTACACTTGATCCCGAACAAATGTTTTCTAAGTTCTAAGGGTATCAATATTGCATACGATTCCACATATTCCATAACATGCAATGTTGCAGAGAAAATAAGCTACTGCCCCTAAACAAAGGGGCCATAACTATTCCCAAAATATGGCTACAGCTTCGAAAGCACAAGGTTTCAGACATCCTAATCAACAAAAACCATAAACATCTGTAATATTACTAGAACAATTCCACATAATTTTCCATCAAGACATGGAAATAAATAACTAAACAGATGTCATAAAAGTAAAAATAATTCTATCAGCCAACCCAATAAAACACTACTAATAACTAAATGAAAATGCATCATGATGCTGAATAACAAAAAAGGAAATGGATCCATATATCAGTAAACAAGTTCATTGCAAATCAAAACTCAAAACAAAATGACACTTGAGTACTAATAATAACATTTATGAGTGAAAAAAAGAAACTACGAGTCCACCTAAAACACCTTCAAAAATTATATAAAAAGCCTAAGCAGTAAGCACAACAGCCCCACCAGCCTCCTTAATCTTCTTCTCAGCAGTCTTGGAAACAAGCTTGGCTTTGACAACAATAGGCTGATTCTCAGGCAAAACACCCTTACCCAAAACCTTAAAGTAACCGAACTGGGTAACATCGATCAAAGGGGCAGAGCCCTTGGAACCCTTGGCCTTGTCTTTAACATCTTGAGGGACCATAGACCAGAGCTTGTCGATGTTGACGATGGGGCAGTAGAACTTGTTGCGAAGCTTGTGGAAGTAACGCATACCGACCTTACCGAAGTAACCCGGATGGTACTTGTCGAAGAGGATCCGGTGGTGATGCATGCCTCCGGCGTTACCGCGACCTCCGGGATGCTTCCTGTGCTTGCCGATACGACCATGGCCCGCGCTCACGTGGCCTCTCTTCTTCCGATGCTTCTTGAAACGGGTCGTCATTTCCTGCTTCTGGGTATGTCTCGCTTTGCAGCAGCGGCTTGAGAGAGAGAGAGAGGAGGAGTGGCGCAAGAAGTTGGAATTAGGGTTTTTGTGGAATATATAGAGGAGTGTGGCAGTGTGAATTTACCTTCTTGTCCTTACAAATGAATATTTCCATTTTTCCTGCTATGAACAGAATGATTCTGGGCTGGGCCTGGGCTTCATCTTCTCTAGTTTTGGTAAATTCATTTTTCATCTGCAAAAATTATTATATTTATCTTTCCATAATTTTTCAATTAAAATAAAATTTAGTTTTGATTATTAAAAATTTAAATAAATTATAAAAATTTTAAAAATAAAACTTGTAAATTATTATTTCAAACTTTTCAAACCATATTTATTAAAACTTTAATTTTCTTACAAAAAATGATGAAAATTGAATTAGTTTGGCCTATAACGAAATGGAAAGAGTAATCTTTATTTATTCTTAGATTAATTTGTGAGGAGTCTGATAAGAGGAAGCTTAATTCTTTACTCTTCCAACCCCCAAAATATAAAAAATATTTGCTCTGATTGCTTGTGCTCTCTGTAGAATAGTTGGGGATGGAGACCTTAGGCTGCAATGGCCAGATTCTGAACTCTAAAAAAAGAATAAATTTGCAGTTTTTCTTTTATTAATTACCTTGGTATTTGGACAAAACAAGTAAGAAAGGCACAACTGATATGCCAAACTAACATTTCCATTCACTTTCATATGATTCTGTAAAACATTATCCTACACAGAACACAGTAAAACAATATCCTGCATATCAGGGCTTATAGCAGTAGCAACACTATGCAAACCTATGGTACTTGGGACTTGGGGATGAGTGTCAGATTCGGATGTGTCCGAGACGGGTACGCTCAAGTTTTACGTTTTTCCGTATATTTGGAGGGTTGTACCTCCGTATCCATGTCTGCCGGATATATTGTTGGACATAGACACAGGTGCTTAAAAGAAACACACAGATGCAATCTACCAAGGCCTCCTTGCACCAAGAGGTATTGTATTTGATCCTGATATTGAAGACCGATTACCATAACCTCCACGTCCTCTGGAGCGGAAGTTTCCCCCGGAACCTAAAAATGAAAGGCAAAGTGTTGATTATCCAAGGTTAAATCCAGAAAGTCTTGTTCAATCATTTATTTACTTTTGCCAACAGGTTCCAAAAACAAAGTATTACCTCCAAAACTTGAAGCAGCAGAGCGGGCCAATGTAGATAATGCAGGAGAGACAACCTGCCCTGCATCTTGCAGGAGCTTGATAAGGTCCCTAGCATACTTTGCATTTGCCTGCGTGAAGAAGGTAAAAGCAGTTCCCTTAGCCCCTGCTCGACCAGTTCGACCAATCCTATGTACATAATCCTCCAGGCTGGAAGGAAAATCATAGTTGATCACACATTTTATGTCCTTCACATCTACAGCAAACAAAGGAAAATCAGAACAAAAGATCAAGAGGGTTAAGACAAAGATAAAGCTGGGAGAAATTTAAGGCTCCAAGAAAAACTAAGTAACTCGAGCACAGCTCTCAAGCTGGCCAAGTAAGAGATTTGCTTGAAATCAATTACAACAGCCAGCTTCTCAGGTCGACATTGTTTCTAACGCTAGATCAAATGATCAGTGAAGATCACTAAAATGTTAAATTACATGCAATATTCTTTCACTAAGCAGGTTCAATACATTTAGAACCCTAGAAAGTTTCAAAACCTCCCTTATCCCTGCACCCTAAGATCCAAATGATCAATATTAAGATAACACATTCATTAGATAAATGTGCCCACCTTAACCTTGCAGGGATAAGGAGCAGCTTCACCACCACCATTTTCGCATCCAATCAGGGAACATAAGCAAATGTGAGTCAACCAGGCTGCCACAAAAAACCAGCTCCATAACCGTGGGTAGGCGACACTAACTTCAACTTCAACTATGTTACTTAGACACTTGATTATAGGAGCCATGCCAATTCAGACAATTCAAGCAAATACATAACCACACATAAGAGAGCTTTCTAATTTTCTTTTCCCCAAACTTAAAATCAGGAAATACAAATTTTCTGAACAAAGGAACAGAGTAGCCTGAGTTTTCACAGTACACCACCCAAAAATTATAGATTACTGGCTCAGCTAGGCAAACTGTGCTCCCTGTGTCCATGTAACATGAGCTATAAGCATAAGGTAGTAGCCAATTATGTTAGGGTACATCTAGTGAATATGAGAAACCACAATGTCCCTCAATCCAACTCATAATTCCCTTTAAGTGGAGGATCATGCTTATGAGTTAAAAGACATATATGTTCACAGATTCTTTATGCACATCATGGCACCTCCTTTGCACCTAAGCCACAAATTATTTTCTCAGGGAACTGGACAGCAGCTGGCAGACTCGCTTATCTTCACCATTTCAAAACCTACATGAATATACTAAGACTCCGAACACACAGTGATCCTACCAAGACCCCGGGCAGCCACATCAGTGGCAGTCATTATGGGACTTCTGCCACTCTTAAATTCAGCCAGGACCCAATCTCTTTCAGACTGGTTTTTATCACCATGGATGGATAGTGCAGGCCATCCATCCATTCTCAGCTGCCTAGTAACTTGGTCGCATCCCTTCTTTGTCTCCATGAATATGAGTATTCGATTCCCATCCATCACTTCCTTGAGCAATTTGATTAGCCTGCACAGAGAGAGATCAACCATTAATATCACAATACAAAATAAAACTTTCCCTGAAACAAGTTGCAGAGACAAACCTGTTGTACTTTTCCAGCTCTGTTACGACTTCAACAACTTGGTTTATAGATTGGTTTGCTTTAAGATCAGGTGATCCAATGATAACCTAAACATCAACAATTTTGGAACTGAATAAGCATGTAAGCACCTCACAAAATATATCAATGAATCCAAACATAGATGCCTTAATAACTTCATCACAAAACCTTATATGGACTGCGTAAAAACTGCCTTGCTAGAGACTCAACCTCCCTTGGCCATGTTGCACTCCAGTACAATGTTTGCCTGTCAGGCCGAATCTGATTATGGATAAAACCAAAATGGTCACATAAAGATCCAAAGCATTTTCTTTTGACAGGATTGTGATGCAGAAATATTACTCAATAAGACTAGCAGTCTAAACAACACAAGATAACCAGATGAAATTAACTAAAATGCAACAGCCTTGGACACAAAAGATGCCACTTTGGTCTAAAGCAGACATCAAGAATCACAATTAATTCAAAACATACACCTTTGTTCTAAATTGAATAATGGAAACATTAGCACATCTGAATGTGGCTAAGAGCATTGCCATCATCAAGTGTAAATGAACAATTACTCTGCTTCACCAGTTTAAACTACTTTTTGACATCTATATCATTGACTCATGCATTTTCTAACATATTTTCAGAATTCAATGCCGATATGTATGTCTTCAGCAATACGCAAGTATCATGTATGCAATAAATTACATTTTGCTACTGCATTGCTTAATATAGAATAAAGTTATACCAAACTTACAGAACTGATGTACAAATGTACAATGGACAATAATCTAAAGGAAGACAACTTGACAACAAATAAAGCAACCTGAGCAACAATTTTTCTTATTTGAGGCTCAAACCCCATATCCAACATTCGATCAGCCTCATCCAGAACAAGGTAAGTCACTCTTTGCAAGTTTGTGTGTTGAGCTTCTAGCATGTCTATCAGTCGACCAGGTGTAGCAATTACAATCCCGACACCTAGCATAGGAAAACCTTAAATTGAATGCCGGAGTACCCTCAATGCCATAAAGGTGAATACATTTCACAGAGAGAATTAGAAATACCTCTTTTAAGATCCCGAATTTGTGGTCCTTTAGGAGCACCACCATAGATGCAAGTGCTTCTGATATTAGCATGAGTCGCAAACTTTGCAGCTTCTTCTTGAATCTGAACAGCCAACTCCCTTGTAGGTGCTAATATTAATACAATAGGACCGTCACCGTGCGCTACACAATTATAGAAACAAAAAAATGAGCAATTGCATTCAAATGAACACCACAACAACCTAAAAAAACATATGAACTGATGATCCGTACTAACCCAATCGTGGCTGTGCGTTAACATGCACCAATGCCGGTAGCAAATATGCCAGCGTTTTACCAGAACCAGTCTCAGCAATGCCAATTAAATCCCTACCCTTCAAAGCCATAGGCCACCCTTGAGCCTGAATTGGCGTTGGTTCAACAAAACCCAATCTAGCAATCACCTCAAGACAATAATCTAACACATAAAAGTTACATAAAGTCAGATAAAATCAAATTAAGATTAAAAAAATTGGAAAACAATCCAAAGTAGATGTACCAGGAAAATTGGCTTCATGGAACATCCTTATTGGCTTTGGAACATCATGCCCTTGAACTGTAATGTCCCGTGTTTTACGATAAACCATAGCTTCTTGCTCTGACATTCCTCTAACTGCAGGACTCTCAACATAAAAGTTCTTCTCAAAAGGAACCAAATTTCCAAAATTTTGCCTTGGAAGCGAAACATTGTCTAAATCCCCTCTAGACGACCCTCCGTGCCTTCCCCCATAACCCCTCCCACCACCACCACCACGGCCATCACGACCACCTCCACCACCTCTGAAGCCGCCACCACGACCTCTCGCCCCGTCGCTTCTCCTGTCTCCAACATGACCATTACCCATGCCCCCACCGCGGCCCATCTCTAATCTTCCCGCGAGTGGTTGGAAGCTCGGGTACGTATCGAAATTTCTTGCACCTGGGATGGCTCCGGACACTCTTCCCTGAAAAGTCGGCGGCTGCGCAGTCGGTGGGCCTCCGTAAGAAACGTTTCCTCCGCGGGGATAAGAGGTAGCACCAGCTGGCGGAACCATTCCCGGGCCCATAGCTGGTAGGCCTACCGGAGGCGGTTGGCCCATGAAATCACTGCAAAAATTAAAAGAAAAAAAAACTCAGCAAATCATAGGAAAAAATATATAATTAATCAATCTTGCCGGGTGAGGCAGGTATAGATCTGGGGAACAGCCGGAAGTACCTCCTTCGCTGACGGTAAGATTCGGGGTCTCCGTATCTTCGGTCGTAAGGATTCATCGAAGCGGTAACAAAGCTTTACGAAAAGAGAGATTTCTTAAAAAAAAAACCAATTAAATAGAAAAAAAAACCTTTTTTCCTGAATCTGTTAATATCAATACTTTGGTTTTGCCGGTTTGAAGAGATGGGTATGAAAGAAAATCTTCGAAATAGCAAAACTAATTGCCCAAATTATCCATATAGGGACCTTGGGAGGGAAAAATATCAGAATTTATACATTGAGTTTGGAATTAGGAGGGATAGTCCAAATTCCCAAGCACACCGTCTCCTCTGGGTTTGGTCACATACTGTTCCTTCATGGGCTCTGGACAGAAATGCCTAGAGCTGATTAATACTTGTAAATTGCAACTCCCAACTCTTCCAGGCAAAGCCCATAATTTCTTTTTCTTCTTTTCTGTACCACGAAAAAAGGAGAGAAAAGGCCTAGATATAGATTTGGTTAAGACCAGTAAAACTTTATTAGGAGATAAATTTGTATTTTATTATACAAAGAAACAGGGAAAGATCAAATAAATCACATGTATAGCCCAAATAGAGGAGGTCTAGGGGTTAATTCCCATGCATCATGGCAGGACACGTATAAGACTATGACCTCTGAAGGTCACTTACCTTGTGACAGTGTGGCCTCTTTACTTGGTTTTCGAATTGTTTTAATTAAGCAAAACCAAACGGACATATCTTGGCTAGCAACAAAAAGGTGAAAGGGAACATAGCGTAGAGGTTGCTTGGAGAGTGACATTGGGAATTGAAGGATTCTTCTCTCAATTATTGCTGGTGGAGGAATCATAGTGAAGTTAGATGTTTGTGTTCTTTCTTTCTTTCTTTCTTTCTTTTTTTCTTCTCCCAAAGAATGGATGAACAACTACTTTTTTACATTACTTCAATTATTTGCTTGTGCACAAAATTTTAGCTCTCTTCCATTTAAGAATGAGAATTGAATCAGTTTTGAGTATTTTTTGCAAATTGCTTAAACATGGCCTGAAAAATGAAATGCATTTGAATTGAATCAGTTTTGATAATAGGACATTGTTTTGCCCACAGGCTACATCCCTTTCACTTACATCATTGCTGAATTGGTGAACCTCTCATTGCCAGTTGGGATTCAACATTCACATGGTAGCTGTGAAATGCTGTAATCTTAAGAATCCCCGACTCTAATACCAGTTCTACACGCTGGATTTGGGAGATAAAGAGAAACGTTTAGGAAAATTACACTTCATATTTATTCATTTAAATAATATATATATA